TCACATTTTACAGATGAGAAAACTGAAATTTAACTGCTCTAGGGCACATGGGAGTAAGAGAAGGCACCAGATGTTAAACCCAGTTCTGTGATTTTATGAAATCTGTAGCATCACAAATATAATTAGTAACCTAACTTCTACTTCCTTCCCCAGTCTACCGGGTGAGCTGTTTCCTTTTTCACAGCTCATTTCTCACATCACCCCCTCTGCAGAGTCTGCCCTGCCCCTCTCCTTTTCCCAGCTGAGTTAGCTGTTTCTTGCTTGGTGCTTCCATGGGCCCTGGCAGCCCCAGGGGAATTTCCTATTAAAATTTGCATTCCAATTCCTCTGGAAAAAAATCAGGAGATTGTCAATGCCATCTCTGAATCTCTGCATGGCAGCAACTACTAGAGTTGAGTGGTGTGTCCCCTTTTCTCCCCAGCTTTCAGATGAAGCATTGCTTCTCCATTTCCTTGAAGACCTCACCCGTCTCTGACAGCACCCACCACCACTATCCCCTGAGTGTGTGTTCTGCTGGGGGCCCTAATGTTTCTGTACTCTGATTTGTTTCTGAGTTTCTCTTGCCTCCGGACAGCCACCCCTGGAAAGGAAAAGATGGTGTCTCCCCACCCTCCCCACTTTTTTTTCCCCCATCTGGCCACATCTCCTATGTTCAACATGTCACCAAGTGACTGAACCAAAGGAACTGTCAAAGCCAAGCTGTAGGTCCAGGTCTGCTGCAGCCATTCATTTGTCACTTGCCACTGAACACAAGGTGTGACTGCATTGTCAATTCAGAGAGCAGCATCTTCTTCTGTGGCGACCAGAGACAGGAAAAACCTCTTTGGCAATGCAGGTGCTTTCCTCTCTGAATATAGATTGTTTTTACATAATTCCCTTGGCTGTGACAGGACCTCCCCTTGGCTTCTGTGTAGAAATGAGTTAACAGCAGTTCTAAGATTGCACATCCTCAGGTCTACTTAGAAGGTTGGCCCTTGGTGCCTGAGAACTTGTGTCTGGAGACTGTTTCCCTACTCCCAGAACTGAGAGGAGTGGTCCTGTCTGCCTAAATTGTACAAACAATGTAGTTTATGTTGGAAACTTGTTTTCCTTCTGGGAGCCTGGAATTCCGGCACATGCTAAACGGGGGGTGTTTATGTTACCAGCGCCCAAGAACACTCTGGGCATTGAGACTCTAAGGAGCTTCCCTTGCACTCAGCATTTGCACATGGACATGTGTTGTCACGTCTTGTTGCTGAGGGAGCTACGTGTGTCCTGTGTGACTGTGTGAACCACTGGGAGAGGACTTGGAATCTTGTGCCTGGTTCCCACCAGATTTTACCCCATGTGCCTTTTTCCTTCATTGATTTAGCTTTTGTCTTCTTTCTCTGAAATAAATCATAGCCATGAGTAGGATGATAGGAGTCCTGTGGGTGTTCCTAGTGAGTTGTTGAACCTGGGGGTGGTTTTGGGGACACCTGACACAGCTTCTTTCCCCATGTCTAAACCCCCATTTCCCCTCTTCCTTGAAGCCTTCTTCTCTGGTTATTGTACCTGGGAGCCATCCCTCCCTAAGCCCAGTGAAACTGTATGCTCAGGCTTTGGAAACAGGGGCTCAGGTCAAATCCTGCCTCTGCTTGGCATGGTGCAGGCCCTGGCAAGTGGCCCCTCTTGTAAAAGTTGTTTAATCCTCTTGGCTTGTACTTAATCTTAGTGGGTTCAGCCTTCCTAAGAGCACAGGCTTTACAGAGAGATCTAGGTTTCAATCCCAGCTCTTGACGGTCTTACCTCCTGGAAACTTGTTTCTTCATGTGTAAAACAAGTTGAATTGGGTTTAATTTGATGGAATCATGCAAAGTACTGCACATAGTGCCTGGCACACAGTATCTGTACAGTAAATGGGAACTTTTATTATTGTTTCAGTTGTTGGTGTAAAAGTCCTCTCCCCAAGCAGACAGGAAGCATCTAACTGTTCTGTGTATCTCTCCAGGGCTGAGCATTCTTTTACAAAAAGAATGCCTGAAACTTTGTTGAAAGGATAGTATTTCTTTTATAGTGGCAGACATGAGTTTGTTGCCAAAATGAAAATAATACAAGTAGTCACTGTCATTTAAAAAATCACATTTGAGTGCCTACTGTATGCCATTCACTGTGCTAAGTAATTTGCATAGGTAATTTATTTCATTTAATCTTCACAACAACCCTGTGAAATAGGTACTATTGTCACCATTTTTTTAAAGATTTCATTTATTTATTTTTAGAGAGGGAAGGGAGGGAGAGAGAGAGACAGAGAGAAACATCAATGTGCGGTTGCTGGGGGCCGTGGCCTGCAACCCAGGCATGTGCCCTGACTGGGAATCAAATCTGCGATGCTTTGGTTCGCAGCCCGAGCTCAATCCACTGAGCTACGCCAGCCAGGGCTATTGTCACCATTTTAAAGAAGAAATGAAGCTTGGTACGATGATGGACTCACAGCAGATAAGTGGCAGAGCCAGGATTAAAATCCAGGTGTATTAGTCAAGCTTGAGCCACAATAACAAAATACCATAGACTAGGTGGTTAAACAGCAGAAATTAATTTTCTCAGAGTCTGGAAGCTGAAGTCCAAGATCAAGGTGCCAACATGGTCAGTTTCAGTTTCTGGGGAGGAGTCTTTTCCTTCTTCCTGACTTGTACAGGGCAGGCTTCTTTCTGGCATTCTCAACAGGGCCTTTCCCAAGGGCATGAGAGTGAACAAGGGAGCTCTCTGGTGTCTTTTTAAAAAAATTTAAAAAGTTGATTTTTAGAGAGAGAAAGGGTGAGAAAGAGAGAAACATGGACTTGTTGTTCCACTTATTTATGCATTCATTGGTTGCTTTCTTGTATGTGCCCTGAGTGGGGATTGAACCCACGAACTTGACATATTAAGATGACACTCTAATCAACTGAGCTGCCCCACCAGGGCTCTGGTGTCTTCTAAGGATACTGATCCTATAGGATCCGGGTCTCATTTTTATGACCTCATTTAACCTTGATGACCTCCATAGAGGTACCATCTCTCTAAATACAGCCACAATAGGGGGTGAGGGCTTCAACACAGGAATTTTGGGGGTGGGGAACACGTGTGGTCCATAACATGATGCCTGTGTGACACCAGATTGGACAGTCTCCAGTTAAAGAAGACCTCTGATTTGTTCAGACACTATATTGGGAATGATGTGGGGTTGGGAGGTGGCTGCTTAATTTGCTTCACTGAGTCAGAAGGTTTAATCCAAATAGGGCTGCTAACCTCTCAGATATCTAGAAGACTGCCTCCCATAGGGCTTTGTCAGGGAACACTTTCAAGTGTTCCTGGCTTTAGGAGTCCAGCTACACTTAAGGGTTTAGACTAAAAGGGAAAGAATTTGGAAGAGGGGGAAAAATGTAATCCCTCTGACTTAGAAGTCATGACTCAGAAATAAAGTCTTTTTTCTTTATTCCCCAAGTCAGAAATAATTTACTGGAAAGCCCGGTGACCTTTCCAGTTGAAGGCAACAGGTGAGGGAATGTCTCTTTGAAGTTCCTCCAGAGATGTCATTTGAGATAACATTTATCTGAGTTCTTTTTTGTGGTCAGATGGTTTCGGTCCTGATCACTGTTCTGAAAAAGGAATGAAGGCTGTCTAGGGAAGTGTATCAAACCCTCCTTTCATCTCCTCCTTTGCCGAAGAACCATTTTTAGTCAGGATATTTGCTTGCATTGTAATTATTTACTTAAAGGACTCCCTGTGCGTTTCCTACCAAGTAACTCATTCTCCTTGTAAACTGTGAGGTTGGAGACTGTACTGATATTCCCAAGTACCTACCATTAAACCAGACAGATGCTGTGGTCAATTTTCCTTCAGAAGATCCATAAGCCCTCAAACAGTACTGAGTATAACTAGATCAGGATCCAGAAGATATAAATACTTAGACTAGGATGAGGAAGGATGCAAAGGAGTTGCAGTTGTAAACTCTGGCAGTATGTAAACCGTGGTTCCAAACCCTGAATTTTTACAATTATAAACAAGCAATTCTCTCCAACAGTTTGAACACTGTTTGCTGGAAATTTTAAATCAGAACTTTCTTTTCTAATCTTCTTTGACCCAGACACTTAAAAAAAAAAATGCTTTTTTCTTTCTGGAAATGAATCAAGAACTAAAACTGAATTTCCAAAGATCCAAAAGGGGAAGTGGAGTTGCTTCAGGTTGGGTTAGAAGAGCATGGAAATCAGGACAAGAAACTGTCAACTGTCCAGAGAACTTAAAAGTGCTCTGTCCCTAGGTGGAGCTGAAAATGTGGTTAGTGTTTATTTTTTTTAATTTCAATTTCATTCATTTATTTTTAAAGAGGAAGGGAGAGAAACATCAATGTGTGGTTGCCTCTCGTGCTCTCCCCACTGGGGTCCTGGCCCACATCCCAGGCACGCGCCCTGACCAGAAATCGAACCAACAACCCCTTTCTTCGCAGGCCAGCACTCAATCCTGAAAATGTGGTTAATGTTTAATACCAGAGTGATTCTTGATAATATTAACTACATTTTGAAATGTAGGCCAAAGACTCTTAGGCAGCTTTGCATGGTTATGAAACAGGATGCCCAGAAGGCCATGCTAACAAGAGGACCATCAGTAAAGGAAGATGTGGTTCTAGGGCAAAGGTGGGCAAGCCCATGGTCAAATGTAGCTCAATGCCTGTTTTGTAAGTAAAGTACTACAATGACGAGTAGTTACAACACAAAGCCCACAAAGCCTAAAATATTTACTTACCTGGCCCTTCACAGAAAAAATGGGCCAAATTCCTCCTCTAGGGCCTTGAGTGGGCCCATCCCCACCTCCTTATCCACTGGCTTAGACGGGGGCATGGTGTATCAGCATCACATGAAAAAATTGACCACTCAAGCTCTGACTAGGCTGTTTCTGCTGGCATGACAAACTCTGCCATCAATTTATGCTTGAGCCAGAGGTTTAATTAAGATGATATACACAGGTAAAGCATATCCAGTCTCAATTAGCAGGAGCCAGCCAAGAAATATGTAAGAACTTTATTTTTAAAACTTTAAAACTAGCAACAATTAGAGGGGAATCTTCTTTAACTTGATCTTTTCTTCTACATTTGAAAAGTATCTCATCTTTGTTAAAATTTCCTTGGCTTTTTCAAAATCATCTGAAATAAACAGAGACATTAATGTGAGACTTCATCTCAAGCAAGAATAAAGCTAAGTCTCTTGACTAAAGCAGCTGGATTCAAGTTGAGTCCCAGCCTCTGGAGGGCTGATCAATTACTCAATATGTCTGACCAAGAGACACCTGGATTATTAAGGGGTCAGGGGGTCTAACCAAAACGGGGTGAAAGCATGCTTACTTACTGGGTTCAGATTTTAAATAAGAGAAGCTGATTCTTTCCAGGGTAGCTCCCAGGTGATAATGGTTGTGTTTCTAGAGCTTTCCCGTGCCACGCGTGGTGGTTTAACCCTGAGGAAGACCTGTCTCTGCACCTTAGTTTTGGGAATGAAGCCCTTAAACCGGTGGTCCTTGACTGAGGGTGATTTTGCACCCACTGGGAAACAGTTGGCAGTGTCTGGAGACAGTTTTGGTTATCTCAACTGGGAAGGTGATACTGACATCTAGTGGAGAGAGTCCAGGGCACTGCTAAACATCCCACAGCGTGGGGGACAGCCCCTTCCGCCAAGAATTACCTGGCCAACATGTTGGTGGTGCCGAGGTTGAGAAAGTCTGACTTAGATGTATGTAAAACTAAATGACATACTGTTATGTTCATATATGGTTAAAACTATCACGAAAAGCAAGGAAGTGATTAACACAAAATTCAGGAGCACGGCTACAGTGGAAGGGGGATGCAATTGCAAAGGGCCTACTGGGGGCTTGGAAGGCAGTGGACATGTTCTATATTTAGTTTATTTTATTACTATTTTTGTAGTTACAAAAATCCTTTTGTGACAAAATATACATAACATAAAATTACCACTGTAACCGTTTTTACGTGTAGCGCTCAGTGGCATTGAGTATATTCACATGGTTGTGCAGTCCATCCCACCATTTAGCCACAGGGCTCTCCTCGCCTTGTAAACCTGAACCACTGCCTTGGAAACAGAAACTCCTGCTCCCCTCCGCCCCACCCCGTCACTCCGACACCCGGAAACCTCCGTTCCACGTTGTCTCTGTGAGTATGACTACTCGTGTCCATGGAACCACACGGTATTTATCTTTTCGCGACTAGTTTATTTTACTTAGCATAATATCCTTAGAGTTCATCCATGTTGTAGCATGTATCAGAATTTCCTGCCCTTAAGGTTTAATGATACTCCATTATATGTACAGACACACCATATTTTGTTTATCCACTCAACTATTGGTGGATGGACACTTGGGATGCTTCCACCTGTTAGCCATTGTGAAAGATCCTATGAACACAGGTACCAACCAAAATTGTTCTTGACGAAACTCTAGCCGGGTTCCCCTGAGTTCTCTTCTTAACAAGGCCTCGACCTTGACCTATACTGACAAACACTAACATAGCTTCTAATAGCTCAAGCCTGTATCCCTGGGATGATCCTAGCTTCTGTTAAAGTGCCTGCCCAAGTAAATTCAAGGCTGCCCCCCAATTTGCTATTTATTGCAGCCAATACCTGAAGACAGGGCCCCTAATACCCAGGCTCTGTGGGAGGGTAGGAACCTACCTTCAGTAAGTGCCAGTTAGTGAACCCAGATGGGTTGCACATGGACCAAGTCCCCCATTCCTGCTTTTGGCATTTTCACTTCCCTGCTTCTAGGGAACCCCTGTGCACCACCACCCCCATTTCCTCATTCTCCCTTTAAAATGCCCAGGCACAAATTCAAGTTGAGTTTAGTTCACACTGGATTATTATTTTTTTTTTTAAGATTTTATTTTTTAGAAAGGGGAAGGGAGAAAGAGAGGGAGAGAAACATCAATGTGTGGTTGTCTCTTGCACGCTCGCCACTGGGGACCTGGCCTGCAACCCAGGCATGTGCCTTAGACTGGGAATTGAACCAGTGACTCTTTGATTTACGGGCTGGTACTCAACCACCTGAGCCACACCAGCCAGGACACACTGGACTCTTTTCCCTATTGCAATAGTTATTACTGATAAAAATCTGTACTTTGAACTTTAAGTCTGGCTTTATCTTTGAAAATTATCTGGCACTGTGACTTGGATCTGGATTGAAAACACCATCGGGCCCTTGGTAGTAACAGCCAGACCTTTCAACAAGCAGAGACCTTGGTCTAAACTTTGGTCTGATGCTCATTTGGGTACCCTGTGGCGAGTCCAACTTCAACCCCCCAGGCAAACTTCTGGTGAAGTACAGCAAGGACAGATTTGGATTCTTAAGATTCTGAGTATACCCTCTAAAGCTGGGTTGGAGTCCCAGAATTCTTTTGAAAGATACCCCCTAGGCTAGAATTCTTCCTGGTTCCCTGTTTCCAGTGAGGACTGACTCCTGGGCTGGAAATTTTCTTCTTCCTGGCTCCCTGTAAGGCCTCTTTGTTCTCTCTGTTTGGGTCTGTCCCTCCATGGGAACTTCTCAGTCGACTGAAGCCTCCCTAGTCCAACTCCTGCTGGCAGCGTGTCGCCATGGTGCTTTGTGCATTTCTTAGACAGTATGACTTTATCCAGGAAATCTTGGAATTTCTGTGGCTTCTTTGAGAAACTTAACATCTTCCCAAACTATCTCCTCCAAGATCTCTCCTTCCCATCACCCCCACTCCTTCCTCCTCCTTTATCACCTTCCATCTTCCCTTCAGCTCCCTTGCATCCTTTGCTATGTCCCCTTTCAAGCCCTTACCTCCTCCACCCCTCTGCCCACCCTGCCAGACCTTTCCCTTCACACTCCTCAACTCCCTATAGCTCCTGGAACTTTGGGCCACCTGTCCCTACTGGGGGCTCTCAAGGGGCTCAGGCACCCTAAAAAGCAACAATCTGAAGCTGAATAAGAAAAAAAATAGAAGTATTTGGAAACAGACATTTAGTCCACAGCTTACATAAGATTACATATCAAAACAAAACAAAACAATTTTGAAGGTTTTGTCTAGAAATATTGGTGGAAAGTTTCAGTTCTTATATTGAATAGATAACCTTTAACTTTCTCTATTGCCAGAAACTCAATTCGGATAAATATACAAAATGGAGCAAAAACAAGAACCACTCTAATATGTGAACTAATGAGTTTTATATTATTGTATTTATTTATGCCTGACTTATGGCTAAAATCTTAGAATGAAAACCATAAGATCTCTATTTGCATTGGCCAGTCTGTTATGTTTACATATATAAACGATATTTTCCTACCTCGCAATGGTATATTACCAAATTAATTTATAAAACTCCTTAAAGGAGTTGTATCCTGTCCTGGCTAGTGTGGCTCCTTTGGTTGGAGTGTTGACCCCTGACTGAAAGGTTGCGGGTTCAGTCCCTGGTTTGGGTTGAGTGTGGGACGTAACCAATTAATGCTTCTCTCTCACATCGATGTTTCTCTCTCTCCCTTCCTCACTCTCTAAAAGCAATGAAGAAAATGTCTTTGGGTGAGGATAAAAAAAAATAAAAAAAGGAAAAGAGTTGTATCCTAATTGGTTTAGAGCAAAATAAGATTTATATAAATTAAATCTTCCTAAAATATCCAGAAATATAGGAACTAATTCAAATGTTTTTCAGTTTCACATACTTTAGATAAATCTTTGGTAAATAAGACTTGGTTTGATATTGTTGGTTTAATAAAATAGGTATATCTTCAGAGTTGCCAACAGTAAATATAATGCAAACAAACACTTTTATTCTACTTAGGTTTACTAGTCAAATAAATGAATATTATATTAGATATTTAAGGTTATAGAAATGATAAAATTGATATTAATTAAATTATTTTGAAAAACTATTTCAAGAATAATTATGGGTTTTTAAAAAGATTTTATTTATTTTTATAGACAGAGGGAAAGGAAGGGAGAAGGAGAGGGAGAGAAACATCAATGTGAGGTTGCCTCTCATGCGCAGCCCCAACTGGGGACCTGGGCTGCAACCCAGGCATGTGCCCTTACCAGGATTCAAACTGGCCACTCCTTGGTTTGCAAGCCTGTGCTCAATTCACTGAGTCACACCAGCCAGGGCAATAATTGTGTGTGTGTTTTTTAAATAATGTTATTGTTATTTTTAAAAATATTTTATTTATTTATTTTTAGAGAGGGAAGGGAGGGAAAAAGAGAGAGAGAGAGAAATATCAATGTGCAGTTGCTGGGGGCCATGGCCTGCAAGCCAGGCATGTGCCCTGACTGGGAATCAAACCTGCGATGCTTTGGTTTGCAGCCCGTGCTCAATCCACTGAGCTATGCCAGCCAGGGCAATAATTGTGTTTTATAATTAGTCATCTAAAAGTCTTTTCCAAAATCTTTTTGGCAATTTACAACCTTAGAGATATGCTAAGTTAAATAATAGATATTCATTAAATATCTAATGTCTAAATAAGATACAGTTTTAAAACACTCATTATTAAGCATTAGTTTAAGTTTATATACTTTGGGTTCTTATTTTTATATGGTCTAGAGAAGCCAAAGATATTTGGGTCTGTTAATAAACATGTTCTCACTACATTAAAAAAATGTATTATAAAAAGCATACACCTCTAGAATTTGTGAGATGGTATATTCACAAAATTTGCTAATCTGCTTATAGAATTCTAGCATATAGTAGTTCTCAATTGTCTACTTCCAAGTTTTCTCTGTAAAACAAAGATTACTAATGGTTAAATTTATAATCAATGTATAAAAACAAAACTACTACAAACAATAAGAGGGAAGGGTAACAACTCTGTATACAAAGTATGGAAGAAAAGTAGGATGTGTTTTTATAAGAAAAGTATGCAAGGAAAGGAGAAATGTGTTTCTGTTAAGATAAAGAGGAGAGTGGTTTTTGCCCTAAAGTAGAATGGGAAAGAGTGAAAGCACTGGATAAAAACTGAATGGGTATTAAAAAATGTTGTATGTTTGTAGAAAAGGAAATGTTTATGTTGTGATGTCAAAGCTGGCTAAGATTAAGTGGATTTATATAGAAAGTGCACTGATACAGAACCAGAGTTTGGTTTTTTCTCTGTTAAAATTACAAAGTTTCTTGAATTATTGGTCTGCTCTTAATAAAA